AAAACTGATCACTTACAATTTTGTAAGAATTTCAACCCATTTTTTTTAACTGTCACCCGTGTAATCACATGTGTTGTAGTAATGATAATTCAGGTGAAAAAAATGTGATATGATGAATAGTAAAATTTTCATAAGATCATAACCTGAAATGAGTTTTCTGTAGTATCATGCGTTTCTATAACGTGCCACAAACAAAATTTGTTTAGTGTCATGTTAATGCCACAAAAGAAAAGTATAGACATATTTGTCCTTCACCAATCATGAGCCTATAAGTTAATATAATATTAATTACCACAACTGTTTTATGTTCATGTATAATTTGTTAGCCTACGTCATTTCAAATTAAACCTAAGTGCAAATTTTTTAACTAAATACACTGTTATGTATGTTTTCTGTCTATCCAAATTAGTTCGTTAAAAGTGCTAACGTGGATTTGTGATCGTCCCTAATCATTTGACTCAAGGATGAATCGACAACCCATGATCCTCATCAATTTGGCACTCCATGGCCGTTAGGAACACATCGGCACCATGCATATACCAGAGTCACATCGGCACTCCAGTTCGTAACTCAAATTCTAATGTCGTCACGAATCCATAAGGCTCCCTTCGTGTCGATCTCGTTATTGATTTAACCTCACTCCTGCTGATATCACGTTCCGGTGCGAAAAGGGTTGCCGCTCATGAACCTGATATACATCATGTCCCCAGAAAGACGTGCTGTCATTAAGCATATTGCATGCAAATGGCCCCTCAGACACGCGACACGTGTCCAATGTCACACAACGCATTCATGATGATTTTTACTTTCTAAATAATACTCCCTCCTTTTTTATATACATGTCGTTCTGACTTTGTTCATCTTTATTTTAATAAATGACGTTTTACATTTTAATCTCATTTTTCCAGTTTTATCCCCCATTCATCTCTCCATATTAAAGTCTAGCAAAAAAAAAGAGTCTCTACATCTTCCGTCTTACTCGTTTCCAAGAACAACATCTCGTACTCCCAAGGCTATCAATAATTTTCATCTCACTTTATATCTTTATATTTATATTTTTTTCCAATTCCTCTTCTACAATTTGTGTGTGCCTCTTTCAATCCAATGGTTGAGGAGAAGCCCGCCGTGGGTGAAGTAATTTCTTGCCCTAATGATGAAGTTGTGAATGAGATGTTGAAGATTTTGTACCAAGTCTGTTTACCGAAAGCTCCCGGCTAAGGTGGTAGATTTTCTTTGAGCGAAGTGTCTTGTTCGTCTATGTGTTTTTGCTCGATTAATTATTTGTCTATTGTTTTGGGATTTTGTTGGTGTCTCGTAATTGCAATTTAGTTGATCGTGTGTTATGCGAGTCTTTATGTTGAGAAGATTTAATGTTATATATTAACGATGAGAATTTTGAGATAATGAGGTCGACGAGAAACAGTGATCGGACATGATTTTTTTTCCGGCCGACGTTTCTTGTCGGCCTCAGTACAATTTCATCATGTCTTTGTTGTCGCCTAAAGCTCTGCCATTTGCAATGTTTCTGAAACAGAGCATGCTTATACATAGTGTGTGTA